CCTTTTTGCAACCTTCTGACAAAGTCAATGAGGCCAGATTCATTTAACAACCGTGTTACTAACTTAACAAGTGGAGCGATTCACTTAACTGTGGCAAGAAACGTCATAAAATGGGGCAAAATGTATTTAACAAATGTTTCATAGCAACAGAAAATTTGGATTCAATTGTTGTTGTAGGTCAAGGACTATCTGAATATTACAAGTTTAGCAGGCTTTACTGATCCTTTCTGTGTCCTGCCCCTCTGCTCCTACCCTTCCCTTTGCTCTAGCAATTGAAGCTCTGAAGAAGGCACACAGGGAAGAAATGAACAAGGAGTTGGGCAGAACACGCAACTTTCAGAAAGGGTTTTCAGATCCAAATGCTCTCCAGCAACAGCATCGGTAAGAGACAATTGAAAAATGATTATTGGAATTTTGACTCATGAATTGAGGTAGGTAGGAGATATAATTATATCTATCAAAATGTTGATTGGTATAGCATTTGGTGAAAATCTTTGGGTGCGTTTTGGGAGCAAATTGACTTTGCCATCAATTTTAAATGCAATATAGAAAAAAATATAACTGACAGTAGTCCTATTAATTTATGTGTTTATTTAAATTCAACTTTTGCCTACCTCTACGGTATGTCATTCTTTAACACAGCCCCCATGTGCTTTTGGGATGCATCCCCCCCACCCCCCAGCTCATTTAGCTAAGTGCAACCCTTTTATAGGAAAAGCTAATGACCTTTCAGTTTCCACTTGTTTTCTTTCAACAGACGGGGCCAGATAGGTCTGTAATTAAGTGGGACCAGTAAGGCTCTTTTGCACCAGAGATAGCCTAAAGAAAGAACTCTGACTACTCAAAAATATGCCTAGGCACATCAAACCTGGAAATGGGGTTGATAGTAATAGGCTGTATTTGTATAGATTAGCCTCTGTCTCATGACGGCTATGTTTTGTTCAGGAGTTGCAAAATAAGATTCTTATTTTGGAAGAGACTGGATTGTGAGAAGACTAGCACAAAAAACGTACTGATGGCAAAATTATGGTATCTGCTGCAGGTCTGATGTGGAGTCTCTGAAGCGGGAGTTGCAAGTGCTTTCAGAACAGTATTCCCAGAAGTGCCTGGAGATTGAGGGCCTTATGGACAAGGCAGAAGAACAGGAACAAATGTTGCAGCGTTGTCAACAGGAGGGGAAAGAGCTGCTTCGGCAAAACCAGGCAAGGATGGTGCTGCCAATAGCAGAAATTCTGAGGGAAGAACAATGACAGAACAAAGTAGCATTCATGAAAGGAGGACAGTTGCAATCTCCTTAATTTAAAATTCAAATTAAATTTAAATGCCAGTGAGCTTTCCATTCGTCTTACCTGGTGGTCCTTGTCTTAGCAGCTAATTCTGGGAGATTTGGCAACAGTTTTTGTGATGTCAGCCATGGATCTGTATGGAATCCCTAGGATGCTGAGTCAGATTGAGCAATAGAATAGTAAACACTATTGAGCTCTGGAAAGACAAGCTTTGTAGAGAGCCCTGGCAACATTCAGCCTAAGATGTTTCTTCTCAAGACTGCACAATTGAAGATTGGTAGCAGGCCATTGTGCAAAAATGGTGCAATTATCCAGAGCCTTTTGTCAATATAAGAAGTTAGACAGCCATGGCTTGGCTATATGTAACTCATCTTTTAATAACTTAAAAAGTTAAAAAATCAAAGGAGCAAAGCCAGAAACAATCTGTCTCCCTTGAGGACATTATCAGATGTATTCCCTCCATGGCCCCCAACTATTGAAAAAAAAGGTTTAAAAGACTACAGGCTGCAAAAAGGCTTCCTTACCTGTTTGATGAATATGTTAGACTATTTCATCCTCATTCTTCCAGGAGTTGCAGAGGCGTCTTTCAGAAGAGATTGGCCAGTTACGAGACTTTATTGCTGCTCGGGGCTCTCGTGATGGTGCTTCACACAATGATAAGAGTTCTTGTGAGCTAGAGGTAAGGAGGAGGGTTGCTTGTTCCTGATACTTTTTGCCTGTCAAAATTTTCCATTTTCTTTGTTTCAGGCATAAACTGGCTATGTAATATTGTGAGTAAAACGAATCTCTGCTGAATCCAGAAGCAGATGCACACAGCTTTTGCGGCAACAAATAGCTAAGGTGGAATCGGTTTTTAAAAGGGAGATCTGGGAAATTATAGGTTAGCCAACTTAATGTATCTTCAAGACAATTGATAGAAATGGTAATCAAGGACATAAAGAAAATCAAGAGGAAAATCAATCTAGATTTTATCAAACTTCTAAAGTGTTGTTGTTGTTGTTGTTTGTTTCTTGAAAAAGCCAGCAGGCAGTAAGGAATGGTTGAACAATCATGGTTGAGCAGGTTGCAAGAACCAAGCCATAGAAAATGAGTTTGTTCATGAACACTATCAATTTCCTTCTTTGTATCAGACATCATTTTAGTCTAAAGGGGAATATTTGGGCAACCTAATTTGTGCTGTCTTCTGAGGACAGTATCTCACCCATCTTATCACATTGAAGGTGTTTCTATTGTAGACAATTGTGTCCTGAACATTTCCGTTTCCATCTTTCTTCTGAAGGTGCTTCTTCGAGTGAAGGAGAATGAACTGCAGTATCAGAAACAAGAAGTCCAATGTCTGAGGGATGAACTCCAAATGATGCAGAAGGTAGATCAGAGCTGCTGGTTTGCAAGGAGAAGTACATACACACATAGGCACAAACCGATCACTCCATTCCCTCTAACAGCATGCAGTGTTATCCAAAGAACTGAAAAGTAGCAAGCTAAAGAAATTAAGGGCATCAGGTAGAAAAGGAAACCCAGCTAAAGCCATTTTACACCAAATCATTCTGTGTATTGCTGGCAGATCACTTTTGCTTCCAATATATTCATACTCATTTTATACTCTGTCTTTTATTCTTTAAATTGTTTGGCTCTCTTTTTTGAGGATCTTGTCAAATCTCTAAATTCTCAGTCATTCTTTTCATCTCAACTTACTTCATTTTTTTTGCAATTTGATTCTCATTGTTTATGATTGACTAATACATTTCTTTCATACTAATCACTTAATATTCAGTACACATTCATTCTTAACTCTCCTCGATCTCATTTTATCATATTACATTGCATTCAACTTTGTTTCTTTCCTGATGTGCCTAACATAAAACAAAGTGAGCAAAAGCAAACTCTTATATGCAGTTATTGTCTTTTGATGAACATTCACTTCTTGCAATAGACCTATCTACTATTTCTCTAGAAGCATTTGCATATCTTAACATTTCTATATCCAGGTTCCCATCTCTAGCTAATGTTCTATAGCATTGATGTACAGATCATCTATTTGCTTTTTGCCATTTATGTACTACTTGCAGACATTTAGCCAATTTTCCCTGTTATCCACAGCTATCTTTGTGTTTGATGAATTAATTTTCATATCCATACTCCCTGTTGCATCACACAATCTAATATTCAAATCATTCGACTTCTCAGCCAACACAATATCATCTGCCTATTCTAGCATGTTTATATTCTACTTAACATCTCTGCAAGTCGATAAATACTTTAAAAACCAGAAGAACATCCAGCATCCCTGTCTTATGCTCCATCCAGTATTGAGCTATGTGCTAAGCATTTATTCTTACATATGCTTTGTTGCAATCATATACCACTGTTATTCCATTCAGCAGCAAACCTCCAGCACAAAAGATTCCATAATTCAAGCCTGTTGTATAATTAATAACATGTACTTCCCCTCAGAAGATGCATGTGTCTCTCATTTGTATCCTTGCTTTCTAATCTTTCTGGACAATGGTACTTCCTTCCCCATGCAGGACAAGAAGTTTGCCTCAGGAAAGTACCATGATATCTACCTGGAGCTGAATCACATCAAGCAACGATCAGAACGAGAGATTGAACATTTGAAAGAGCATCTGCGCCTGGCCATGGCAGCCCTAGAAGAGAAAGAGATGCTGCACAACAATATTGGTATAAAAGATATGTTTGCATTAAAGACACATGTTGTGTAAAGTGGAGCTAGTCAAGCTGCAAAGGCAGAAGGCGTTGGTGCCCCTTTTATCTCCAGCAGCAGAGATGCACCTTGCATTGGATATCTTGCTGATTGCTTCACAGTGTCAAAAACTTTCTCTTTGCCTCCTCTTCTCTCCCCTCCCTTATTTTGTATGCCAGAGGACAAATGTATAAACAAGTTGCTTGTAGAATTCTCCATGAAATCAGGTTGAAAGCCACAGGTCGGTCACTGCTACTGTATTAGTCTAGTCAAGCTCAGTTTCATTTTGCATCTAAAATAAGGATATTACAGCTACAATATATAAATTGTCATCACCAAGACACTCCAAAGGTTTTAGACTTCCATCTCCCATTATTCTTGGCATGGCCACAATTCCTGCTATGTAGCAAAGATACACTTTTTGAGCATTATTCAATGTTCTTAATTCTACTTCTTTCTTTGTTCCATAGGTTAGTTACTTTTCTGTGCACCACTTTGGAGAAGAAAGCAGCGTTCCTCTCCAGGAGCACTGGGCGAGACTTTACCAAATAACCATCACATGCATCTGCATCACTTGGGCATGTTTTGAGCTGGATCCTATTACTAGCACCTTTTGGGGACTTTACAAATGAAAATAATTTTTATATTTTGGGGGGTGGGGATATGTTTTAAAATCTTATATTTACGTTTCCCAGCAGTTAACCACAAAGGTGGACCAGATATTTCTCCCTAAAGTTCCTTTAAACCTAATTGTTCCTTCTCCTAAATATTTAGCTGTATTTACATTAAAAGTGTTTATCTGCTTCCAGTTTTCTTCCAAATGGAGAAACAAAATCACACAACCCTCAACTTCAGGTTGTACAGTGTTGCTTCACAGCAGTCCATGTTGGAGATGCACTGTGCTGTAAGAATGTTCTGTTGATTACATTGTCAGTGGAACTGGTTTGTCCAAAGACCATGCAGAGTTTAGGATCCATAAGTAGCAATTGTTTTCAGAACAATGGAAGATATTTTTTTAATGTTAATTAAATGTCTGTGCATCCCATTGTAAACGTAGTCTTCATCCCCGAAAGTTGGGTTCAACTAATGCGTTCTCATGGGGAGGAATTTCACTGCTGATGTTGCCAGAGCCAAACAATGAAGGCGGCTGATTTTCTTTTATTTCTGCAGAATTAACTTAATAAAATCATTGACTATAGAAATGTGTGGTTTTTGCTTGGCAGCAAAAGGTATAAATGTTGAACCATTTTGCATTCTCAAAAGGTTGGTGCTGCTTCTTCTGTCTTATCATTCTTGGCACTTAATGCTCTTTGGAGGTTCAAAGCATTTTCCCTTTTTTCTCTCTAATGTTAGAAATATTTAAGACAGAAATGGAGGGGGAAAGCTTTATTTACATTTTGGATGACTTGCAATAGATCAAATACTTGACTCCAAATTGTTTGGCAATAGCAGCAGGAAAAAATTTCCACTCCTAAATTCATCTTTTATAATCTGTTCTGCAAATGTAGTTTTTCATTAGTTAATTTGGCTCTATTTAATAGACTCCGCAGTCCTAAAAAAAGAAAAAGTAACTATAAAATCTGTCCATACTTGCTGCACGATAGATAAACCACTAATGTTCCTGTTACTTAGGACTATTTCAGTAAGTGGCAACACCAGGTTGAGCTTGGCTGGTTCAGAAGGCCTTGGCCTATTTAATAATTGAGTGGGATATTATCAGGAAATCCCAGAATGGCAGGTTCAAATGACAGGTCAAAAAAACATCCCAGAAGAAAACAACCCACTTCTCTATTGTTGCCAAGAAAACATGTCATAAAATCACCAGATACTCAATGTGGAGACTCTAAATATCCCTTAAGTAGAAATGCAACTACATATTTGCAGCAGTTACAATGTGCTCCCCAAATATTTTCCTTCATTATCCAAAACTGCTTATCAGAAAGTCCTTTTTACCAATATAGATAAAACATTTTTAAGTCAATTTAATTACAGTATGTCCCACTTGTGATTGGGTAATAGATTTATGAGTTGTCACCTAAAGAAAAACCACTTTTACCCAATTTGGGGTAATTTACTAAGGTTTGGGAAGCATAGTTAAAATTTCCAAACCTTATCTTGAACTTGACCCCAAATCATCCAGTTTTTGTATATTAATGGGAACTTAGGAACTTGAGTTTCTCTATTCCTATCGTATGCTGAGCACTCTACATCAGTGAAATACCACATCTGAATGCAAAGGTTATGTGCAAACTGTTTAAAGTATGCAGATAAAGATTCTATTATTGCACATCTTGTTATAAAAATATATATGTTTTGAATTTTGTTAAAATGCTGTTATCAGTAGTGAATATTCCAAAAATTATGAAAGACATTCTTACTCTCTTACAGATATTCTCCCACCCACAATTTGCCTTTTTTAAAAAAACAAACATGCTCTGCATTTAGTACAGTCTTTGTATTAATTATATTACACAAGATCAAATTTCAGAATTAAAAAAATCAAGACTATACTAGCATTCTATCATGCAATTAGATTAGATAGCCCACAATTGGTCTCATTTTCCCATATAAAACAAGCACAAGTGCGTGTTTTTTAACATGCATGGCTTTATCCAAGTTTTTTTTCATGAGATACAATTCCAGTAAGTTCATAACATTTCTTGTATTCCCCCCTCCCCTCTCTTTCTCTCTCTCTCTCTCTCACACACACACACACACACAAAAATGCAGCCCTATAATAACTGGCATGTCAGGCTTCTCATTTGAGATATGGCAAAATGGTAAGTTCAGTTTAAAACTAATTAGCAATTTCATGTATGTTGTAATTTCATATGTTTAAAAAAAACAGGTATTTCACAGCTACTTAAATCCTCTCCCTCTAAAAACGACCTTGACTGAACCAAGAGAATATAGTTTACATAAATACTGGAGTCCAGCTAAAGAAAACTTTGTTTCTCCAACCTCACAGTGATTAATCATGGCTTACTCTATCCAAATCAACCATAGTTAATAGCATGACTGAAAGGTGACTGAAAGCATGACTCAATTTGTCGCACTAACACAGCCATGAAAAACTACGTAAGGGAAAATGTAGCTCTTGCGAATTATATTTATTAGATACGGTTGGGTTTTAAATAGCTAAAAGTCGTCTTGAGGAAAGCCTACAAAAAATCGTCACCTGTTATCTGAAAAACCCTCATTTTCATTGCAAAGAGAGCCGCGTATGTATCCCCCAATCCAGCCATTCCTTTATTCTTTCATTGATTTCGTAAGTCGTCCTTCGCATTGCCTTTCTAAAGCAGCGGATGGGGATGACGCCGAAAGTAAACTCAAATTTTGTCGTGAAGCAACTGAGGAAGCGAACGGCACGTGTGTCCAATACCCATCTCTGGCTTCGCTGTGGGAAACAAAGGAAAGAGGGGGGTAGCCTCTTTTGGGCGATGCGTGTAGTCTATGCCGGGGAGGAAGCGTGTGTGATCATCCAGAAGCATTTGATTGTCGCCGTAAAAGACGAATTGTAGGGAGGACTAATATTCCTGTTTCTTCGATTCTTCCAATGTTGGCGCTGTCAAGTAAGGTAGAAGCCTTCCTTCTCCGACTACATTTCCCATAAAACATTGCTCGCACGTTGTACGGTGGCTCTTTAGCCATACAAACCACTTTGACTGATTCCTCTCCCTGGGTAAGAATTAATCAGCTGATTGCTGAGAGCTCTTCAAAGAAACTATTGCTATTGTCAACAGAGAACTGTCAACGCGCTTACATCCCATAGGGCTTTTTTTTATCGCTGGCTCTTATCGAAATCCTTTTAAATTCTTTAGTACATACTTACACGGCTCATACAAAACTACTTTCCTGAGATCTTGGCTCGTAATAAACACCAAGGAAGCAAAACCCCACTTTATAATTTCAATAAATTAAACATTATTTCTTAACTTTCGGGAAACATATTTTAAAATTTTGTGTAACATTTTTATACCTTTTATACCTTATGTGAATCCTGTAAGCAACCCTCGATCTTACCGATTGATTTTGTACATTCCTTTGCCGTTTACAATTCTGGAATATGGGGAAATTTGAAATTTAATGTAGTGGCGTAATCTTTTCCCCCATTATGTTCTTCGCAATTTTTCGGTATAATGAGTCAAGGGAAAAGGCAACGTTAAAAGAAAAGTTTTACATGAGTGCGTATTTCCCCCCCCCCCGTTTTTTTTTTTTTTTTTTTTGGTCAACTGTCCTAATTAAAAGCAGACTGGATTAAAAATATTTTTAAATAATGTGCAAGCTACTGAGATAATGATAAAAGGTAGAAATTAATGAGCCTAGAGCCTAATCATTTGACAAAACAATAAGATTAGCAATCCCAATCTTGTTCCACAATGTTGAAGTCAATGAAATTAAATCGAGATAGACGGGCCGGGGGCTGGGGCCAAGACCCTTCCCCACCCTTCTATAGCCATCAACTTACTTGGAAGTCATCGAGCAATCTCGGGAGTTAGAGGTAGTAGAACAAGCTACCTTGTGGTTTAACTCTATTCTGTCTTTTATCTCTCCCCCCCCCGTCCTCCCCCACGCCATCGGGGTCTTTACTTACTTTCTCCAAATCGAGGAACGCCTGCTTGCCCCTTTCCTTTTTGGAAGTCTTAAGGAAGCTAGCTACCCAAGAGAAAAAACGCAGGTATTGCAAAGGTGCTGACGTTTTATTATTCGCATTCTACTGCTGCCATATAACTGCATCTCATGGTTTTGTACTTAACAAAAACAAAACAGACATAGTGCTAACTCAATTTTTGGAACTGAGAAGCGACGGGGTATTTTGGAAACGGGAAGAGGTGCGAATGTACCTGGACGTGTTTTTTTTGGGTGGTGTTCTCCGTGTGGCTAGGATGCCAGTTCGATCTTATAATTCCCTCTTTTTAAAAAAGTATTCAGAGGTGTGCTTTTTTAAAACTTTTCCTCCCTAGTTTTTCCGATACCACAAGGCGATACTTAGCAGCTCCGAGTCTTTCAGGTTGCAGCCCCGACGCTTTTCATTAATTTTTTTTATTAACAACAACAATAACAGCAACACTCCTAAGAGGGGAGAAGGGGGGAGAAACAACCTCAGTTCTTCCAGCAAGATGGCGATTGCACATACATGTAGTCTTCCAACAGTTAAGCCCTCCGCCAAGGCTGGCAAATTAGGGTTAATTCATTTAGGAAACGGCTTTTCAAACCCCTGTCGCCTCTTAACCCCCTTCCCTTCTCGGGAACTTATGTTGAGAAAGTGTTTAAGTAAGAGGGGAGGCTCCACCTTGAAAAGCCCAAACAAAACAGCTGATATAAATCTCCACTGTCTTTTAGTGGGGGACAAAACAAATCGGGGGGCCGGGGGCACGAAGGCAAGTTGAGCTAGGGAGTGATTAGAGGTGTCTGAGATAAGTCGACAGTGGGGTAGTTAAGTAATGGGGGTGTTGTGTCCCTCTCCCGTTTCCCTCTTATGTAGACATACTTATTTTGATCCCATTGCAGCCAATGAAGTACGTTTGGGGGTAATGGGGGGCGAGTAAAAAAAGACCCCATTCTTCCCCTCTTCGTCCGAAGTCAAAGGGAAGATCCAGATGCATCCCCAAGTTAGGTGCCCCCCAACTCCAAGCAGGGGGCTGCCAGATGGTCCTTGGGGGAGGGGATGGCTGCAAACTTCCCATCTAACAAAAAGGAAAGTTTTCTCAGCGCTAGGGCTTGGGGAGGGGGCGGCTGGAGGATGGGACCCACAGCATGGGGGGCGAGGGTCCCCCCAGAGACACCCCCAACCCTGGGGGAGCCGCTCCCCCCACCCTCCCTGGCCAGGTCTTAGCTGAGTCTCGGCTGGCTCGGGGCTCCCTGTGTTAGTTGGGGTCTGCTCCAGGGCTCCCCGCGCGGCTCTTGGGGCTCTTGAAGATCCGGAACGGGGGTTTCTCATTGGCCCAGGGGTGCCTCTTGCTTGTCGCTTTCCCTCTTGGCTGGGTTCCCCTCGGCTGCTTCGCTAGGGGGGAGCAAAGGGGAAATGTCGAGGCGCCCCACTCGCACCCAGCGCCGTTTGGGGCGCCCTGAAGCGGCGGAGGACGGCTGCAGAGGGAGCCGGCCGCGGGGACCAAGAGCTCAAGGACCAGAGCAGCCGGCGGCAGTGGTGCGGAACCCAAGAGCCACGGGGAGAAGCGGGAAAAAGCCGCTTTAGGCGGCGGAAGAAACACAGATGTCGGCGGCGCGGCGCCATTCGGGGCCTGAACAGGCAGCCAGCAACCCTGTCCTCACCGCGGTCCGCACTTGAGCGCTAAATACCCGGATGCGCCGGCTGCTGCCTAGAGAACCAGACACAGAGCAAGAAGCGGAGGCAGGGCGCAGCAGAAGCTGTCAGAAGAGGTGGGGAATTGAGTCCCAGAGAGAGAAAGAGACAGAGAAAAGAAGACAAGCAGGAGCTGGGCTTGGGCACAAAGCAGTCCCCAAGCCTGCGTGCAGACACCTGCTTCCTGAAAAGACTGTTGAAGGCCTTAGCCAGAGCTGTTTCTCAGGAGGGGTCATTCCCTAAGAAGACTGTCCTGACCGCACCCTGGCAGCAACTGCCTGAAAAGACTGTAAGGAGGTGACATCCTCCCTGGGCATTAAAAAAGAACTCTGTCAGAGAAACTGTTGGCGAAGTTTCAGTACATCTCAGCAGGATCTTCTGTACCACGCAGGCTGCTGAGAAGGAGTCCCACGTGTCTAAAGAAAGTTTAGGACCAGACACCAGACCTGTCTTTCTGAAAGGAAACTGCACAGCAGGATGACTGAAAACTCTACCACAGCACCTGCTGCCAAACCCAAGCGGGCCAAGGCAGCCAAGAAGTCCACAGACCATCCTAAGTACTCTGACATGATTGTGGCCGCTATCCAGGCAGAAAAGAGCCGGGCTGGTTCTTCACGCCAATCTATCCAGAAATACATCAAGAGCCACTACAAGGTCGGGGAGAATGCAGATTCCCAAATCAAGCTGTCCATCAAGAGGTTGGTCACAACAGGTGTTTTGAAGCAGACCAAGGGTGTTGGGGCTTCAGGTTCCTTCCGCCTGGCCAAGAGTGATGAACCCAAGAAGGCTCCAGTCAAGAAGGCCAAAAAGGAAGTCAAGAAAGCTACAACTCCCAAGAAAGCCACTAAGCCCAAGAAAGCTGCTGCCAAGTCCCCAGCTAAAAAGTCTAAGCCTGCAGCAAAGAAAGCCAAAAGGAAGCCAGCACCTGCTCCAAAGAAAGCCAAGAAGCCAAAGACTGTCAAGGCCAAGCCGGTGAAGGCCTCCAAGCCTAAAAAAGCAAAAGCTTCCAAACCCAAAGCAAAGTCCAGTGCAAAGAAGTCGACCAAGAAAAAGTGAGGAGCAAGTTTGGGACTTCTTTCTTGGAACTTCTTGATCTCTCCTCTGTAAATAGATTTCTTCTTTATTCTCTACTCATTTCTATTGCAGCTTTATAAAGACTGAACAATTCTTGCCCTATACTTTAAAAAAACCATTCATATGGAAGCTACATTTGGGGTTTTGTTTTGTTTTTCTATTGTACTTTGAAAGAGATTTTTATGTCATTATTTTATGTCCCTTCTCTATTAAGGTATGCAATACATGTGTCTAAGCATGAGGGAAGATTAATGAGGGACATTTTTTAGTGTTCTTATTTTAGGAGGAAGATTTGAGAAATATTTGATGAAGGGGAGGTGCTATGGGCCTTCTTTAATTGGATCTCCTCAACTGAATATACCCTCAACTGATCATTGTAACTGGCTTTTAAGAAAAAACAACTTTTATCATGGGATGCATAAGCTTCCAATTTAGCTGATATGGTGGATGATCGTTTCTAGACCTAGTGAAGATTGGGTTGGTTGAGGTTAATAAGCTTTCCACTGACTTCATTCTTTCAGAGGGGGACTGCTATTTACAGGGAAGATTGAAATGGGGTCAGTGAAAAATACTGCAAATATTTTAATTTCTCCCTATTAATATTTGTACATGTTGGCCACATTGAATTAAAGTAAAGATGTTAATTCTATTCCTGAAAAGAGAATAGAAATAATCAGGAGGGGGTGTGCGCACAGTCTCTGACCACTGTCTGGTTCTGGCAATTTCAAGAGAAAGTGTTACAAAAGCTATCTATTACTTGCTATTGAAATCTGGATGCTTCCCAGTTCTGCAGTGTCTGCCATCTAAAATTACAACTTTTACATGAGTATAATCTACAAGATTCCTTCAAATCTTCACTTTTTAATTATGGGTCTTTTGGGGTTAAGGGAGGAAGAACAAATGTAGGGGATAATAGATAACAAACGTAGCCAATATTGAAGCTGTATACAATTATTGCTAAAATTTGGAATGTACTTCCCCAAGAGGGGAATGGAAAACATAATTTTAAGTGCTCCAAATTTTTTAAAAAATCAAGTATGCTTATGTTTAAACATAAGAAAATTCTTATAGGATTGATATTTGATTGTTTATTTTACTTTGTATGTGTAATTTTGTGCAAGGAAGATTTAGCTGTCTTTGTAATTTTAGGGTTTAAAATAAAATGTAAAACAAACTAACATTTTAGTTACTTATTTACATTATTTTGATATACTATTATGTAAAAATCATTTTTTTATAAAATTTCAGATTGACTGAAATTTTAGACAGATCAAGAACATTATTCTTGATCAAATAACTTGACAAAGGACTCAGTTCTTTGGTAATGAAAACAAAGCAGTCAGGGGGAAAATGTGCCCAAACCTAGCTTTCTCAATTTTGGTGCTCTCCAGATATTTCTTTCCCACTCCTGCATCGAACATATCTGGAAAGCATGAGTTTAGGAAAGCTTTATTATAGAGAGATAGCATTGGTGACGAAGGAACTGGCTATTTGACAGGTTGAAAAGGAGAAGTTTTCATCACAGAAGAATCAATATAACTTGGCCACTAGATGTCAGCCCAACAAGACATAATCTCATTTTACTATGAAAATGTATTTTACAGTAAAATATGCATCACATTATCAAGATGCATAAGTG